GACATGCAGCTCCGATTCAACAGCAATACAGTCAGGCAAAAGGAATAATCTCTTCGGGATCGGTTCCAAAGCGGGTTTACTGTCGTCAACCCTACTTGCCTCGGATAAATAATCCAAGTTATACACACGGAATCTAAATCTATATATATAAAATAACAATAATCTTACATTTTTATTTTACCGAAGTTTTCCATTACCTCAATTGCATCGGATGACGCGACGTCCGTCTCCGTTTGATAGCGGCTCTCGTACAATAGAGCCTTGTTGAAGTCATCTAAAACATCAGATTAATGTTAACAAAACCTACCAGTAGACCGCAACAACTTCACAGGGTATTGTTTTCATGCGTCCTGTGGTTGAACTCCTTGAAGGAACAGGAAGTTGTGTCGCTTCGTTGCCACCCCAGGCCAATGGACAGTGCCATCATCGTGATACCACGATTTGTGCACTATCGCAACGGCATTGTTGTTCACAAATTCCGCAATTTTTAACATTTAAAAAACGAACAACTTTAGTGGTTATTGTTTTGCTGTATACATATAATGAAAAGAGGAAGTAAAAAAACTAAATTTATTTTGTAAATGCATCTGAAGTTTGTAAAATGGGAATAACCACGGAGTGATTGGTACACATAAAATGGCAGCATTTTGCCGAGATGCGGGAGTGGGACGTCTTTACAGACGCAATAACGGACTTATAGCAAAGAAATTTATAAGTGTGACGAAGGTAAAATGCCACTGTAGAAATCTGTACAGTGTTCGAATGGTGAAAAAGAAATATGGGAATCGGTGATCTGTGTAATCAGCCCCAGCTTGTTGTTGCATGTGACACATTTATTCGGGGAACGGTTACTCAGTTGCACACCGTTTAATTTACAAAATCGCTGAGAGGAAAAACCCGGTTAAATGATACACCAGCATCATCCTGACATCCTTCGGTATCCGTCACACTGTTGATTCACAAAGGCGACGAAAGATTTGGGATGCCGGAATAGTTGGTGATCGAACGAGATTCCTTACACAGCCCAAGAATGATTCGAACGGAAACGCGGAGAAGTTGCCATTAGATCCGAATCGCTGAGCGTCATCAGGTAAATGCGATAAACAATGAACATTGTGTACACATAGATATCACGAAATTCTTTAAGAAGTTCATAAAATTAAGGACGTATGTAAGTTTTATAGTGAATTAGCAATACATGGGAAGATAGAAAAAAACAAGTGGATAAATTAACAAAATTAAAATACAACACATCTGAAAGTTCTTGCCTAAGTAAAATAGGGCCCAAATATAACAGAAACTGCCGGAATTCTGTAGCTTTCCAACCTTCGAAGTCAGAAAAATCGTGGCATTTACGTGGAAAGTCAACAGGAAATTGACGACTAAGTCTTTTAAAAACTACAGTCATTCTGCAGATGACAGTAAGCGAACAGAATGAGAAGGGGACCCAGTTCCCAACAAACCAATGAATGGGTATTTCATTACCACTCGATTGAAGGCTGCCTTATAACTCATCCTTGACGTTGTTGTCAGATGGGAGAGTTGGGGCGTAGACAGCGATTACTGTGAGGTTGACTGGATGACCCTTGAATCGTGTTACTGCAATCCTAGAGGATGTTGGTTTCCAGGAAAGTAAAGCACTATTAGCCCAATGGCTCAAAGCAAGTGCCACTCCGTGTTGACCCAACGTTTCGTTGCTGCTGTGATATAGCCAGTAATGGCTATCAATACCGGGGATTTTTATACTTTTGGAGCCGGAGCCTGCCAATCTAACTTCTGAGAGGCATGCAATATTCAGCTGATAGTCATGCAGCGCGCGTATCGTTAGTGCCTGACTCCCGGCATCTAAGAGTGTTCTTACGTTCCAGCATCCAATGTAAGACGTTTTGCGTAGTGTGAGGTGTCCAGTGCGCATACTTGTCACCCGGGCCACAGGGCGCGTCGCTTCCCGGGAACGCCGTAGTATGATTAGCAATACAGGTTGAGTGAATATCCATGAATGTTGACTGTACGTTTGTATATTCAATAAACGTTTATTTAAATAAGAAATTAAAAGTTCACGATTGGCAACTTTTGTAGTTCTGAACGAACGTCAAAGTGAACGCTTCTAGAGTGACAATTTTCGGTCACTTCGGATTATCGTTAGGTATACCGCATTCTAGTCCCAAGCACCAACAGGTCACGATCGTTTCCTCAGCTGTAAAGATTTTCTTCCACTAAAACGCGATACGAGAATTTGATAACGACCTTTTCATTGAAGTGCATTGATCCTCCGATAAGACGCTCTAATCAAAACGTTTCGATTGAAATGAAATCCAAACAATATTATTTGGTGAATTTAGTGGTAAATTTCAATCTGATCACCGTTGAGAGAATGAAATGGGCTTCAAGTCAGCCAGTCTGGGTAGAGAAAGAGGTGGTTTGACAATAGTGCAGAACGCAGTGTCAGGACGAACTGACAACTAAAGATGAAAACATCAAGTATTATTAGGAAAATTATTACTTGCTTAACAAACAATAATCATACAACCACCGAAGATAGAACTTCATATCCTTAGTTTCAATTTAAACTGATATATTGAATAGAAGTGATGTGAAAAGGCTTGTCATTGATGCAACATAGAATTACAGTTTTTTGGTGAGGTATTTTTATCAGACCTAGGCGTATTTCTTCCAACACAATATTCTGTGCAGCTGTGTCACCTGCTGATGTCCATTCGCTGTAATTGATTGTACACCAAAAATGGGAACATCTATTCAATTCTACCTTTCAGCGTGAGAGTAAATTAACTAACGCAAGGACCTCAAATGGAAAACGAAGAAGTCATTCAAAATCCCCCGGTGACCAACACGGAATCGTTAATCGAATCGGCCGATCCCAGGAAAACAGCAGCAATTTATTTGGAAAAACACGGAATTTTGCGGTTATTTGAAGTGAGCATCAATTTCTGTCTCACATGAATTTAGAAATTGACCTCGGATATAATTCTATATCAACCAGAAGATCCCATACAATATATGATTGACAATGTTGAACACATTCATCTGCAAATGGACAACAGTTAATGTCAAAAGAGGTGACTGGAAATTCAGCGCACTTTAATAGGCATGATGGGAGGTGAGAAGTAAGATAAAATCATCTATCAAACAAAATCCCACGTGCTTTTATAGAATTTCTGTCGAAATGCACGGCGTGTGGGGTCCTTTTTAATTGTCATGGGAGAAATAAATGATTTTGCAAGACACTCGTTCTTCATCCAACCAGGGAACGCAGACCCTTCGAAATTCAAAATTATATTATATTACCACCATGATTAAGTAGTTCATCAATGAGAGTCAAATATTACACCACTGCGTCAAGTATCTCAAAGTTGAGAAAACGTAAACCGAATAAACTAAACACTGAAATCAAATAGACAGCAGCTATCATTGAATCTAGGCATCAACAGTCTAATTATCAGAATGCAAAGACGGAAATGTGACTGTTAACTCATAATACCGTAAATAATGACTGACAGTGCAACCACTCGGATCTGGCATGTGACAGCTCAAAAAAGGAGGTAAAGTAAAAGATAAAATTTAAAAGGCTATAAGAGTCCACGCTGCATCATTTAGCCGTCACCTAGTGTTCTGGTCACATGGAGAGCGCGGGTCCTGTGAGAACCTCGGTAAAACCCTGTACACAAGTCAAGGTTTTCATGAATTAAAATCGTCTTTCGTTTGGTCACAAACCGATCTCGACATCCCAATAGCGATCCCATTCTGACCACAATTTCACACGCGGCATACGGAACAAACACAGAGAAAGTTGTAAAACATTTCCGCTGATCTGAGTGAAATGTAGACTGAATGTTAATTCACAGACAATCCGATTACATCGTTAATTTGAAATAATGGTTATTTTACTTTCCATCTCGTGACAGGGTGAACACAATGATCCATAAAGATTCTAAAAGACAAGATTACAAGCGAGATCCAAAGTAATGCTATTTACTTTTACCCGAAGTTGTATTTACGCTATTTGTGTATCCGAGTGCAAACCTGCAAAGCATCAAGGTTGTTTCAGACGAGCAGGTGGCTAATAGTCCCATTTATTCACTTCATTTGGGAAGCTTTATCGAGTAGATGGAACGGGTGATTAAAGTGACATCAGCACTCGTAACTTGGTAACATTTCATCAGGTAGTTACTTCGACGTTCTGACATTTGTTCTCCGGAGCTCGCCTTGATAGTTCTTTTCCTTGAAGCTTTTGCCTGCTCAGCCCCTGCATAAACAGCTAGTCAACCTTACCAGATTGCAGTCACTAGATGTCATATTTCTATCTTTCAGTACTTCATATTGCATCGAGACACTGAACTATGGTACATTCTTTTTGTCGGAAGCAGCGAGGTGATCAAAACATGACGTGGCTTAGGGAGATGAAAAAATGTGGTCGAATGGGTCTCCGCTGGAGGTTGAAGATAAAATTTTACGACACAAGTCTACGTTATATTGTAACCTCTAATGAGGCGCTACCATAAGCGAGGAATCATTGAAAGGCCAAACTCAACCTACAAGGACCGGAAAAGCGACAATTTCCATAATGATTCATGCTAAGAACATTCATGAATTCAGTTTGAATCGAACGCTTTGCAAGACGCCAGTGCTTGCTACAGATTTTATGGGATAAGGCTGAGATACAAAGTTGATAAAGGAAACAAGGCGGGTTTTGCGCAATTTTATTATGCAACTTGCATGTGAATGACACGCATTAGTGTAGCTGGGCGAAAAATGAAAATCCCCAAGAGACAGTGCGATAATCCTGAAAGGTCGTTGACAATTTCATGAATGACTGAAGTGGTGATAACATCTTACGGTTAGGTGAACCAAAGCGAGCAATTGATGCAAGAACAAGAACTAATGTCTATGAAGCTTAAAATGAATTTATATCTGACGCGCGTGCGTGTGAGTGCATGTGTATGTACAGTTTCCGATGACGAAGGGGATGAAATGTTTCGGACCTAACTGGTCTCCTCGTGAGGCTGGTTCGGATGTTGCGTCGGATGGAGAGCAAACATGGAGGAGACAATGCGCAATCGCTCCTGTTCGTATGCAACTACAAGCGCATGCAACTCGCGATAGAAGAGATGGTCCAATGCGCGCGTCACCTCGATCATTGTTTCCACATCTAACTGTCGGAAAAAGTCCTACAAAATGAAAAAAAACAGAGCATATATTAACATTCCACTGTTAGCTTTTTACATATTCATTATTTTCTCTCAATTACGGAGAAATATACGGGCTGTTTGTTCAGCAGACCACAAACACCGCTGTGTGCGAGTAAAAAAATATGTAGAGCTCCAAAAAATAACGTGAACCATTGCTTCCGGAATCAACAAAAAAAGTTACATTAAACGCGGTAAATGGCAGGAACACAACACATTGCAAATTCAGATATACCCACATTCAATTCAGTTGGTGTAAAAATATCGTGATTTGATTGAAAGATTGGGTATTTGAAATGCACGGAAAGCAGTTCACTCACCACAAAGAACTTTTCTTCAGACTCCAGGGTGGTGTTTTTGTAGTTTTCCACTTCGATGAATTCTGGCAACAGAGAAAAGTGAGACACTAGTAATAACACCATGGAAAACGAGGAGCCCGTATGTTGATTCGAACACACACACGAAGATGATGAAGAAATGAAAACATAACATTCGGTTAGTAACCAGATTCCATAATCATAACAGTACACTATTTTCACACCCTCCTAACGAAGACCATCCGAGGTGGTCGAAACGTTGAGCAATATAACACATCTGTTCAACAACGTTGTCATATGCAAGCTCTTCTGAAAATATGACATTCTTGTGGGTTTTGGTGATCCTAAGTGTCCCCATGGAGAACGCCGGTTCGCGCTCCTGACTGTGCGAGATTCTACAAAACGCGACCAGACAAGCACATTATAGTCAAGTGCAGTATTCCCCAGCCACATCGCGTCTTTCGATTATTGTAATTCTGTTTCACGGAGTTTGCATTAAAATCGCGAGATCTCTGAGCTTCGCAACGAGGAAACGCAAGTGGCAGGAGCGTTTGCATGCGCTCATCCTTTATGGTGATCAGTTTCTTTTTACATTACACGCCTAAGTATGATGAACAGTAGACGGAGTAAACCCCATAGTCACGAGGACCTGCTGTTCAGTGTTGGAAACCGGCAACCTAAGCCCCGGGACTTGGAGTGGCGAACCACATAAGGCCCCGATAAGTTAGACGTGATATTGAACCGGACGACAGCAGAGTTGCCTACCACCAGCTGGAAGTAGCTGAGAGCTTTGAGCACCTCGGAGCTAGATTTTCGCCAAAAGTAGCAAGTAAGAGCAGCTATCGCCAACCTGATGTATCTATGGCACCATCATAAAACCGGACTCTCACTTTGGGGAGGTGTATATAGCCGAAGATCGTAGTGTTTTGCATTACGGCTACGAGACCAGACCTCTCCGCGATGAGGTTTTCTATATGCACCCACCGATTTCTTAGAAAAATTGCTCATATCTGATGGAAAAACTGGATGGGCAAACGACGAGGTTTGTCGTCATGTGTTGGGTGTGGAAAATCATTCTCTAAAATAAATGAATGCGCCGCGTCTGATGGCTAGGGCGTGTTTTGTGTACACCTGGCCAACGCCTAATTTTCCGTGCTCTCTTTGCATATGCTGGAAGATGCGTTTTGGGGGTCCGACTATAACCCAGCCAAGAGGTATGAAGAAGTTAGCGTTGGTTAGTGCTCGCTCACCTTCCAGATATGGACCCGAAGGACGATGATAGCCGTTAGTTAGAGGTGCTGAGAGAAAGGGTCCAAAATGAAGGTGTAGCGATTGCCGCCTGTCAGCGGCAATCCTATGACCCATAAAATAGGCTAACAAACACAAACAGCATCGAAAAAAGTACGAGATGCCACCTCGAACAAAACACAAACGATATAAAAGACGCCACTATGTACCCTATTTCCGAGAAACTTCAAATAAACTGTAATCGTTAGTGTGGGTGAGAAGAAGGATCACAAAACAGATAGTGGCTCAACGATAGGACCTTAGGTTAGTTTGATAACCAACGATTTGTATCTCATCACAAGAACGAAAACCTATCAATAGAAAACCATACTGCATACTGCATTATTAAGACCTAAAAGAATCTACTAATCTTTCAATATTAGCAAGGAGTGAACTATAATTATAGATTAACGAATAAAAATGGGAAAACATTAGATTTACCTGAAACGTTATATTTCAGCGAGGATTGCAAATTGCGGAGATCTGAGAAGAAGCTTTCCCTTTCAACATTTGGGTCCTTTAATGGAGCTGGAAGCCAAAGGTTTGGATGGTGTCGCTGACAATGCGGAATCAGAAGACTGTAGGAAGGAGGAAAAATATCAAACCAGATAGTGTCAAGCTGATGTAGCTATGAAAAAAATGCTTGACAACTTGCGATCACAACGTTCCGGGCATAAGACCAACCTTTGCAGGTACGGCGTCAACATAGTCATGGATTGAACGCAAAATATAGAAACAGAAAAATGATAAAACAAACGGTCAACTTTGGGGATAAGAACATTTTTACTTGTTTACTCCACGCCATTTTGACTTTTGGGATCTCACGTAGGAAAGGGTGCATTCACGCCATTGACTTCGGTCCGATGCCATAACCCGCAGTGTTTCTAGCCAACGACAATCCAAATCTTTGGGGCCCCAGTCGGGAAGCCCCAACGGAAGCCAGATCCGAGTAGTCTCTTTTACCCTCTGCGCCACGTCATAGCCTGTCCAACTCGTTGATTCTTCCAAACTGGACCGATGTCTGTGAATAGTGCACGATGTGGCAGACGTTGCTCAGGGATTAGTAGGACGTGTCCTAGCCACCCAAGACGATGCTAGGAAATTATTTTGCTCAAAGGAAGACTATCGAATCCAAGAACCTATCGTTTGACCTCATCGTTATTCACGCGATACTCCCACCATACGCGAGCGATGTTGCGAAGACAACGGTTGTCGAAGACGCATAGTCGTTGGACAGAGTGGTCAAGTTTCGCATCCATAGAGCAAGACGTCCTGTACCGCTGCGCCCATTCAGTGAAAGGGGAAATGACTCATCGCACAGAAATTGGATTAGTCGCGCGATGGAATGGTGAGAAACAGCAGAGAGCACTGGGCAGCTGTTTCGTCTTTGTGAGGACTCCATAGCCGTGCACATTATCCCTGTATCAGTGCCGAAACTCGGGTGGTAGGTAGCTCAAGTGTTCCATCGTACGTAAGATAGAGAAATAACAAAACCTCAAGGGGAAAAATGCACAGAGAACAGGGCTTCCTCAGTAGAGGCTATTCCAGATTCTTGGTGGCATAGCAGAATTTTGCAAGGTGTAAAACAAGAGGGACCAAGCATAAACCAAGACACTTAACTTTGATCGTACTGCAGCATTTGGAGGCCTGTGAATTTACAGGGAAAGTGTGAAATAATTTTCAAATGAAGTAGTTCTCGCGAGAAAATCAGTGAACGCTTGTCTAACAGCAAGATGATTAGCATTCAAATCAACTCTTTTGGTGAACTCTGTGCAACTATCAAAAATAGCAGAACTGGACTTACCCGGGTGGCTAGATACCTAGTAACAGTCATTCCGGTACCCCAAGTATTTACATGATTAGATTTTATGCTGACAAATCACATGAAGCACGCGCTCTGTGAGAGGATAAATATCACGCATGGAAAAAGTTCTTACAACAAACCTCTGCTTGGGGCCACCTTATTTTGTCAACCGGTACATTGGTAAATATGTTTGTTAGATTTAACAGTGGAAATAGTCGAACGGCCAAATTAATCATCGCATTAGCCCGGAGGAAGTGCATTGAAACTTCACCCATACAACACCAGCCCCGCCACCTAGCACCCTTCTTAACACTGGATGTCCCAGGAAACCTTTGATTAACTGCCGTTTTGGTCCTAAAAGTCGGTTGTACCATTATATTTCCAATGAATAAAAAGAAATGGCCATTACTATTGCAAATAAAGAGTTACTTACTGGATTTGAGTGATCAAAAAAACTACGTTAGGACGCCTATCTCGCAACAGAACCACGAAAGATTCGTAACAGCAAAAAACAAGACAAAACAATCTCAATGAGGATGGGGTAACGAAGAAAAAAAAAACAATATTTACCTCTGGTAATAGATACCATTCTGGCACGAATCGACGCGTTCCCAACCGAGGGGTACATGAGCACCGAGAGTTGGATGGTGCCAGCTGGCCTGACGAGTCGCATCACATGCGTAGTACGAGCGACCGAAGCTCGATCGACGCTCGGACCAGCCACTGGGCATTGCTAATCGGAGATTAGCATCTAATTCAATAAAAGCCTGAACATCGGGGAAACAGAAAGGGGGCGGGAACGAGAAGTGTTCGCAAGCTGAGTTGTGATATCACGAACAGTTTCAGTTACACTTTGAACGAGGCAACCAAAATTGCAAAGGTTTAACCACTACTTGAAAATTAATTGTTAGCAAATAAGCACCACTCTACTTAGCCCGGAGCAAGCTAAAACAATACATGTTATTCACGAATTCCACAAGTAGTTTTGAGTCGACGCATAACTGAGGTTACCTGTCCCTTCAACCAAAGAATACAAGGAGCACCTGATTAGGTGGGAGTTCAGAGGAAATTTCCTATTCCAGTGTGAAGCTGTCGGACAAACAACTGGCTGGTTGTCACTCCAGGCTGCATCTAAAATCCTAGCTCCGTAATTCCGATGAACCCAGACATGATTTTGTAAGACACATGTACCCTCCGTGCAAGGGTCCACAGTTCAAACTCTGCAAGGGCCGGTGGTTGCAAACCATTGGTGAGCTCCAATGGAGTGAAGCCACGCAGAAAAGCTGCGCCTCAGAACTGGACTCGGCTTCAAGTTCGGTATTTCTCAATCGAAGTTCCTCAGACGGGCATCACTTCCCTTTCGCTGAACAAATATAATCCACCAGAACGTATCAGAAGAATACTACAGGTTTGCAGTCTACTTGGTCACATATAAAGGCCAGTAGCCATCTATTGAAGCACACACTTGATGCAGTTCTATACCGGGCTGCATACGCAAATTACACTCTGAACTACGTCTGCTAACTCCAAAGCCACGCCCGTTAGCTGAGCCAAATACACTCCACTTTTGACCGGTGTGTAGTGTGCACACTGATAATCACAACCAATGACCCTGGATAGTAATAATAACGTATGATCACTAGACATATATAATGTATGATAATCAAAGGACGCAAGATCGGAATGAGATAAAGGTAAAAAAATACGTGATGGATCCAATTTATCCATTCAAGGTTTGTTTAGGAAAACGTGAGTACGTTGCTCGTAAAACAATGTGAAAATAAATTTAGAAAGGCCCGTAAGCCATGGCCCCGATTAGAATGCTCTATGGATTGGGAAAAATACGGCAGCCAAAATATGAGATCCTAAATTGAATTTCAAAAAACTGAATAAACAACAAACCGCTATTTTTGAGTAGAAATCAGTGCCATCCACAAGGGCCAAAGTGGGATCGCTTGGAAGTTCCGGAGCTAAGTCAAAGCTGGATTTTGTCGATCGCATTTCCATGTGTGTTCGGTTTCGATAGCCCGCCAGATCGTTTGCACTCAATGAGTTACTCATCGGACGAATTCCTACCAAGTAGGAAGCCGGTGATGCGCGTCGAGCCAGCAACTGTGAATTTTCTGTGATCAAAGCATGGTTGGAACCCGGAAACGCAACACCTGCTGCATTGGTTCGACCAGAACAGGGAAGCGCAACCGCACAGCTGGAATGGTATCCACTCAATTCGGGGCCGACGCTTCGTTCACGCACGGAGCGTGGATGTGGGAGACCGGTAGTCGATGTGCTATTGTTCATCGACATACCGTTCCCATGAGCCACATTGCTCGATTCAGGTGCACAACCGAATCCGGCTCCTGCACTACCGGATCTCGGCATTCGATAGTGATGAGCGAAAAAGCTCGGGTGACATGATAGTCGAGGATGATAACCACCTGAGTTGGGGAGAGAGAGAGAGGAAAACCAGCCCAAGCGGACCAAAGGGAATGTTCAGAAAGAACAGAAAAACGAAGCGACATAGCCAACCGACTCTGATATATTCAGAACTTATGGCGGTAGTCCTATTTTTTGGCTGGGTGGTTGTGGTGTAGTGGCTTAGTCACTGGGGGGGGGGAGTAGATCCTATGGTCCGGGGTTCGAGCCCCACTGCTGAACTCAATTTTTGTAGTAGGCAGCTTTGCTGCCGTCCGGTTTGAATACCACGCCTTACCTAGTGGGAACAATATGGTTCGCCACTCCAAGTCCCGGGGATTAGGTTACCAGTTTCTGTTGCTGAGCAGCAGTTCTTCGCGACTATGTGGTTTACTTCGTCTACTGTTCATCACATTAATATGTGCAATATAAAAGACGATACCATCTGAAAAATTCCATCGGATATTACCTATTAACAGACGAATAACATTACTTACATTGTCTAATTACAGATGATGAATTGCACCCTTCCCTCAGACGACAGTTGCAAACCGCTACTGATATTCACATTACCCTCCGTAATATCTAAGTTAGTAGAAACTTGACTTTGTGCATTAAGTGATTGTAGTTCATTGGCAATGAAGCCATCACGACCAGAGTGAGTCGTTTACTTGGACAAAACAAGTTTATACAAGTTTCATATTGAAAACCGGACAATTCTGATATAAAAAGTGTGAAATTATCATACGTTGGAGCATTACAATACATAAGTTATAACTGAGAAACAAACTTGGTTATTCGTCAAATCGAGTATAAGATCTGATAAGATGATGATGATGATGTTTTACTGAAGAGTTAAAATAGTAAATACTTGGGGCATCCTCTTCAGTAGTCTGGTGGAATAGAGTAACTTCAGGGTAGTGCATATTGTGTAGGAAAACCCCAGTATGATCGCATAAACGCTTGCAAACCTAGCCTAATTCTTCAAGGGGTCCGCGATAGTGCATAATTGGTTTAGCGCAACAGATTCGGCTAGTCTTGGATGGGACCGACTGCAACTGGCTGAAACACTCGTGCTTCTAAATATTTGATATTCTCGAACTTATGTGCACATAAACGGCTGATGTGGGCACTCTGCCATGACCTGGTACGCTCTCTGATCCCAATGGATAAGGTTGCATCAATCGACGGGAAGTTAATTGTGCACACACACACACGATCTTTCTCTCGCTCAGTCAAAAAACTAATAACTTACAGGCCAGCCGATGGCTGACGTTCGCTAAGGTTTCTTGTCCGATAAAAGACTTGACATGATTAGTTACCACCAATCACATTTTATTACCGGTATTCTCAAATAGTTGAAATGAAAAATCAGAGAAAAGTATTACAACGCAGTAAACTACATGAGAAACCAATCTCCCCTTTGTAGAACACCGCTGGAAGTCACTCTGAGTTTACTCACTTGAATCAATTCCCATAGAACCGGTGAATGAATGCAATGGACGCTGGAGAAGTCCTGGTGGTCCATGACAAGCATACGAGGAGGCTGGCAGTCCTCGATCTGCCAGCATGGATGCACCTTGCAAGTGATTCGGACGTGGACACTCTGGAGTTCCGTAAAGAGAACCAGTGGGGCTTTCCACAGACTGGCCACGTACTGGAGACATCGAAATTGAGCAAGCTTGTGCGTCGACAAGCGGTGATAAGTAGCGTGGACTGTTCATGCGCAAGGATGTGACCGGGTGGTTTGTTGAACCCAAATAATGGAAACGTTGCTGGAACAAAAGATTACTCAAAATCAAGAATGTCGTATAATATTCGGACGGACTACTGTAAATACCACCACCACCACTACTACAACACCAAGAAGTTAACATAAAATTAAATGGTGGATCATGTGTTCAGTTAAAGATAATAAAAGGTAAGTTTATCAGATTGGGTCATTTAAATTGCTAGTATTTTGAAACACAAACGATGGGGTTTTCTCACTATTGAATGATAAACTGGAAGGTGGAACAGGTATGCAATACAATAAAACACTCGATAAGTCATGAAAAACTGCAAAAGTGGTTAAAAAAGGAGACTAAAAAATGATACAAACGGATGCCGTAGCCTCTCCAGAGTGAAAACTATCCGGAATGATTAAAACTGTTCGCTCCACCAGGGTCTTCCCTCTCGGGAGGGAATTTTCCACAAAGTAACATAGAACATAACTGCAACACAAAATAGGTTATCAGTACCCATAAACCTTCACAATGGTTATTCTGAAACCATGGATATCCGTCCCGTTTTAACTAAGAAGAGAAACAAACTCGTAGCAACCAATTATTTTACCAAAAAAGGAATACATTGTTCGTCGTTTTACGTCACTGTCTGCCCCCCCCTCCCAGGAATATATAGCTAGCTTCTATTCTGTTCTCTAGTATCAGTATAACTTCCAAGCACAAAAATCTGTGGTAGAGGAGAAGCTCTCATTGCAACGGAGCCACTTTGCATTCAACCATGTACTCTTTGTTGTCATCACTCTCTGAACCTAACGGCTCTAGATCTTAAACACCGGTGACATGAAAGCCATGAATAGCACCTCTATGACTGTGTGAGCTTCCGAAGTAACATCATCACCAGTTCATGGTTATCGGTTTGAGGATGGGTGATGTATACCAGATACAAGGCCTGTTAACCACAAAAACGACCTCTTAAAGCGCCCCAGGGTACCCACTAATCCGTTACCGTGAGAATCCCAGCGCCAAGTTTGAAATACTGCGGACAACCACATTTCTAAATGACTAATAGTTTGAGCCCCGCCTCCAGTAGCTATACCTGCGGGTATACGGTTACTCTTTCTTTAAATCTTCAAACGCAGCTGCGTGGAACACTTCACAAACTGGCCGCGTGTTGGAGGGGCTTTAAAATAAAAGCCCATCTGGTGACAGTGAAAAGTGCGAACATAAACTTTTCTCCTAATCAGATAGATATAATAATTAACTGAGATAAAATTCTCTTCACAGATATTTTATCCCTGTGAAAACAATTGTTTTTTTAGTTTACCACCAAGCACTCGGATTATCTTCTTCATTGACTGCCCCCTCGGATTTATGGGCAAGTTTCATTTCTCTAATGAATACGGCACAAGTGGACCCAGGATTCTTGCCGCATCTGAGAATAAACGTCAAGTGTAACTGCGATGGAGACCATCAGCACGGTATAAACAGTAACTAAATGAGTGCGCGTTGCAACAGGCTACCCGGCATTCCTTCCACTGATTCCAATAACCTACCGTGAAATACCTAGCTGGGCTGAAATTTCACATGTACCGACTCCAACGCAACACTTTCACAATTGTTGTAGCAGAAGGGCCTGGAAGCTGTGTTTAGTGTAGGTGACGACTTCGATCAAGATATTGGTGTTGTGAGGTCCTACTCACATTTGTGAGTAGCATGATTGGATTGCGCAAAGGAATGTGATTGTCGGCTCCTAGCAACGATCAAAAATGAACAAGATCTCCTTTAGCGAATTGCTGTTTAAAAATGATAGCTACAAATTGTACACTCAGCCGTTCTGCCGGGATAGAGCACCGATAAAACCAAAGCAAATCAATAAACTGCACATTCAGCAACCACGAAACGCACCTAACAAACCGACAAAACAATAAAATGCATAGAGAATGAGTAAATGTTGCAAGCACGGTGGGCAGAGTAAATCCAGAGCACTTATGATTTCCGACTGTACCCATTCCTTATGAATAAGTGACCTGTAAGGGTAGAAAATGCGCTAAAGCTGAAATGCCCTACAATGTGTATAGAAACAGACGCTAGGAGAGGGAGTTTGACAAGCAGAATCCCAATGACATGGGTAAATATGCGATCGGGGTAGCCAGGGTTTATTAGGATCTTATTGTACAGCAGCTCGTGGTGGCTCAACTACGATTAAGTAGGTAATGTGTAAATAGACAACAGGACTAGAAAGAGAGGTGTTTAAGGCACGCAGAAATTGGTGGTTTGAAGTCGTTTGAAAACAAACTGGAGGTCACTAATCAAGCAGACGATCAGTGCAGTAATGTACAAATAAATGTAACATATTTGATGGTGCGTGCAGTGATATGATTCTACAAGAAAATTCTTTTGAATTCCAGAATGTATGGGGAAAAAATTAATTCACACGGAAATATCGATGTTCGTCGACTGCTCAGACTGTGTCAAGGTGTATGTGGTGTGCTCATTATGAACGTCACGGACACGAAAAACGTTGGCCCGATGGTTTCATTCATCACTCGGCATAGAATCAGATTTGCCGTTCAAAAGCAATGATAAATGTGACTGAAATTCAGTCTTGTGCCCACAAGACTGGCTGCAGTTAAGAACAAGCATTTTACATTTTTGCAGGCACGGCGAGAAGAATAATACACAAGAAGTGGGTGGTGCAAGGCCAAGTGGTTAGGTCACCAACGAATGAACTGGGTTCAAACCGCTCCACCGCCGCCCGTCTTCCCTATATCTGTATTTTAACCAGGCAGCCTTTGTCCGGCCGCAGCCCCCTTCCTGAAAGTTGACTGTACATTTGTAAATAGAAAAGGGAAGTAAAAAGACATTTTTTATCGGAAGATAAACTCAAATTTATCTCCAACGTGTTCAGAAGCAATGGCTACCTCGACCGCTTTATTCAGCGAAATATCAAAAGTACTCACTGATAGGATGGAAAAGTACCTGTTCATTAGTCTTCCTTTTAGGGCTGAAGTTGCCGCTGAAACCCTCATCAGACGACTGAATGGAGCGGTAAAAGCCACATTCAACGCCGCGAACCTACGCTGCTCTTTCAAAGTTCGCCACTGATAACCATGCGGAATAAAGATAAACTACCGATGTTGACCGCTTCAGTGATTGTTCACTCATTCGGATGTGTTTGCGACGCACTCTACGTCGGTCGTACGGCAGTTATCTATCCGCATGAAAGAACACCATCCGCTCTGGCTGTGTCGAGGTGGTTCCGGATCTATCACAAGTGCGATTCTCGCCCACTTGGTAGACACTGACCATCGTGTTAACCCAAGTGAAGCATTCCGCATTATTTATCAGGTCCCCCCCGAAACGGTCCAAATACGTTAGATTGCGTACGGTGGCCACAGCTGAGGCCATCTGTATTAAGCATGACCCCCGAACTGTGCCCAGAAACGTCTCATCCAAGCTCTCCATCTCCCATGGGTTCGCGAACCCACTCCTACCCTATGCCCTGAGAATGCGATGTGCAGCACACACGCATACACGAAGTGAACGATTCCTCATTTTATTGTTCTCCTCCCAACCCCCAGGATTTTCCCCTCATAAACTGTAATGGAATGATGAGTTATTGAAAACGATTGTTCGCCTGAAATCGTGTTTTAAGTGCGAGTATGGGCATATTTTGAAATTAGAATAATATAAACTGGGGTGGTGGTGGCACAGTGGTTTAGTCGCTGACACCAGCGTGATTTGGACCTTATGGTCCGAACCCCGCCACCGCCACCAGACTTTGATGGTAAGCAGCTCTAATGTCGTCCGATTCAAATACCGCGTCTAACCGACCGGGGCCTTATGTGGTTCGCCACTCCAAGTCCCGGGGCTTAGGGGGGGGGGGCGGTTTCCAACACTGAACAGCAGGTCCTCGTGGTTTACTCCGTCTGCTGTTCATCGCACTTAGGTGTGTGATAAAAAAGGAATCGTTTCTACTACTGCTTTGTGATGAAGCCAATCAATATGATTAAGAGTGTACGAAAGCAAATTAGTCAGATGAAAAGGTACGATCGATATATGTGCTCCGTAAATCACCGTTTCGGTGTCAAAGAATCACTTCGATCGAATGAGCCGGAGAAAGTGACCACTGGAGGGACTGGTTCAGCTTAAACAGGAGAGTTAATACAGAAACTAGACAAAGTTTGCTAATTGGGTAGCTCATTTCACCCAGCGGACAAATTCCAGGTGAAGTGATGGCAAAGGTACTGAAGATTAGATTGGCGATTGCCGACTTGAGTAACCTACGTCGCTGCCGACTTTATGTGAGTGGTCGAGTGTATGATAAAGGAGATCGTCGAGTGTTATTGCATGTCACTGAGACATAGTCGTTACGGAACAGGGTCAACACGGACTCTCGATGTTCGAGCACTGTTGTCTACGTTTCACTGTACTTGTTTGGTGGGACAACCAGATGAGTTTAAGCGAAACGGCATTCGTAAATTGCGGTTGCGCACTGGAGCCTGTGTTTGGACTCCATGGATCACGATGACTGGGGCATGCATTGCGCATGTCATTAGATGATATCCCTCGGTGTTCGAGATCGGTAGAAGTACAGACAAAGAACTGAAATGATTGTATAAAAACCTTAACCAAATTCGTTGGTTACGTGGATCACGATACGCTTCCCGGTTGGAAATACCGAAATTAGCCTAATTAATTGTTAAATACTGGATGATATGACTGAGTGTCGCAAATAGTAGCATTGATGGATTTACTCGTTTTCTAACCAGTGACTTTAATTGGTCTTTGTTATTTCACCATGACGGTGCTCTCAGCTTCTTAACTTTAATTCCATTTATTCGTCCTTCACTGGTGAACTCCATGGGCAGTCTGAAGAAAGCAAGCTAAACCAATGGTGCACCACAGTGCAAGATGATTAGTTTTGTAAACTAAACTGGTTAGATAGACACAGTCATTCACCCTATGATAAGCTTAATTTGCAATCCTTCTGAACATTATATAATCATATTTTCCTGATTTGACGACTTTTGCTCAACACAGATGGCTTAGTTCGTTTCTACCGTTTCCAGTCAATTAACCTTGGTCCAGTGTCAATTCACTGAAAAGACTTAAGCTCACAGCGTATCGTGGTCCATATGTTCGGGGTTAAC